TGGGCTGATAGTTAACACTCTCATACACAGTCAGCCAAGCGTAATGAGATGTTAGAGAGTAATCCGTGAGGCCTGGTTAGCGTTTGTCACTTGCTGCAGATGCTGCAGACAGGTACGCATTCTCTGTAATGGTTATAAACTATCTGTAACTCTAGTTCCAGGGGATCTGACAATGTTTTCTTTCCTCTGAGGGCACCATCTATGTACACACATGTGCAGGCAAAACACTCATGCACATAAAATAAACAGAAGGAGGAGGAGGAGGGGGAGGAGGAAGAGAAAACAACGACGAAAGTGGCCCATGAGGTGGCTGCCATATTACCTGATTCCGATGTTGAGTTGTTTCATATGCCTGCCTTGAGTCCTGCTGCCCCAGGTTCAAGAGGGACTCCGAAGACAAGGTCTGTTCACCTTCTCAGGCTGGAAGAGGGACACCAGCCCCTCCATCTCCAGACCTGCATTGGTCACCTGTCAACTGCTGTGACAAACACCACAACCCAAAACAACTTCTGGAAAAGATGAGTTCATTTTGCTAATGGATTCCACAGGGGTGAGTCCACCATGGAGAGGCAGGGGCATGACAGCAAGACGCAGTACAAAGAGATCACATCTTTAACCCCAAGCTCGAAACAGCATGGACTGAAAGCAGAGAGGGGCCTTGAGCTCTCAAAGGCCACCTCCAAGGATGCTCCTCCTCCAGCAAGGCCACACCTCCTAAACCTCCCCAAACAGTGCCACCAGTAGACACCAAATGTCTTAGCACATGAGGGACTACAACACCTAACCCAGCACCTGCCACCTGGTATTTATCTGTTTTCTTCCTTTTTTCTTGGTGTTAGTGAAGATTAAACCTCAGGCCTCGTAGGTTCTCAGTCTCCACTTATTTCCATGCCCAGCTTCGGGGGTAGAGTGGGTCTCAAGTGGTTTGTGTTGACCTCAAACTTCCTATGTAGCTGGAGCTGACCTTGAACTCCCAAAGATCTCCTTGCCTCCTCCCCTCCCAGTGCTGACGTTACAAGTATCTGTTACCATGCATGGCTGGGTTTTTGTTGTTGGTTTTGAATCAGCATCTCATTTAGTTAACTAGGCTGGTCTTGAACTCAAAATCCTCCTGGCTCGATCCTTTGGTTATTGAAATTCAGGTGTGAACCCCCACACACCTGACTTATGCCCTTGTAAGATAGCACGTGCTTTCAACATCTGTGTCCATAAGTAAAGTTCCACTGAGGCATAGCCATTCTCACTTAATTGCCAACCCTGATGCTTCAAGCTCTGAGTCTTCTAAGAGCTGTAAAAGCCTGTTAGCTTCCACTTACATTCCCAGGACTTGGAAGGCTGAGGCAGGAGGATTAACTTAGGGGCCAGGCATTTCCAGAACTTTCCTCAGTGCCTCTTTCATGAACAGAGTGAGCCTCACACAGGTAGCACTCTCTAGACCACTGAACACTCAATGTGTTACTAGTAAGGTAGACTGGCCAGGCTTGTAATCACAACACTTGGGCCAGTGGAGGAATTCAAGGCTATCCTTGTCTACTTAGTGTATCCAAAGCTAGCCTGAGCTACATGGCAAGACAAACAAAAACTGAACAGACGCTATGAACGGCCACAGGATTCCCGATCCGGTGACGGTCTCTGCGAACGCCACGGCCAGCAGAGTGCCTCTGCCGATTCTCAAGAGGCAAGGAGGAATTCCTGTTCATTGGGACCCAGTGCTTTGAGAGTCTGACAGCAGGCGGTCTATTTCAGGTATATTTAAGCACAGCACAAGTTGGGAACCGTTTCCTGGTGATAATGAACTCAGTCCCGCGTGCACAACGAAGCTAAGACGACTGTGTCGACACTCGTGTAAAGTACACGTGACATCGCCCATAAAGACGAGTTCTGTAGATAAACCAGGAAAGCAGGCTCTAGGGAAACAGCTCATGGTCAGGGTCTGGGGAAGCCAGTGTGGCCTAGTCTTACAGACGGCTCAGAGGTCACCGGATATTAACCACATCTGTCCCAGCCTTCTGGGTGGAAAACAGGCCATGCATCTATCTCTCTTTGAAGGAACAACACTGTGTGTTTAACATTCCTGGTTCCCCTAGTTCTTGTCTGTGAACACAGGATCTCCGTGCCGCCTAACAAAACACAAAGTCTAGGTCCTTGGTTCAGGCCCTAAGAGCCCCATAGTTGGCCTACAGGGTCTGCTGGGACACTTCCATCCCAGCCTGCTCCCTGGACCTGTGTGTGCTCCCTACATCCCCAGAAGCCCCACCTCACCCCCACCTCATCCTCCAGCCCAGCCACTTCCAGCCTTGACCCTTGAATGAAGATGAGGTCTTGTGGTGGGATTATTAATTGTGCCTCAGTTTCCCATTCTTTAGATGGGGGGGCTCAGCCTGTGGGGTGTGTTGTAGAAATGGCACAAGTCAGCAGTGGCAAGTGAGTGTGACTCCAGTCACACTTATGGTGCCACACATTTCCTGGGCAGACAGGTATGGAGCTGCCCCATTTAGGAGGCAAACCTGTTTGTTTGTTTGTTTGTTTGTTTGTTTGTTTGTTTGTTTTTCAAGACATGGTTTCTCTGTGTAGCCCTGGCTGTCCTGGAACTCACTCTGTGTAGACCAGGCTGGCCTCAAACTCAGAAATCCACCTGCCTCTGCCTCCCAAGTGCCGGGACTAAAGGCGTGCGCCACCATCGCCCGGCCTTGTTTTTTTAAAAGTAGTAGTCTCAAGCAGCCCAGGCCAATCGCAAATTCTAACACACAGCTGAAGCTGGTGTGAGCTCCTGATCCCCCTGCCTCTGGCACCGAGGGCTGGATTTACAGTCCTAGCTACCATACTGAACTGGTGACACTGAGTTTCCAGTGGACAGGAGATGGGTGAGCCAGGCCTTACACACAGAAGAGACATCCGGGAAATCTCTGGACGCCCTGTTATCATGGCCCTAGCCATGGCTTCCATGAGGCTGAGGAATCCAGGCTCCGTACCTGGAGCTCCCATCCCTGTGGACAAAGGCCAACAGGCTCTGTAGGGAAGAAGATGGATATAAGGACCCAGCAGGACAGTGGCTAGCACAGGTCAACCAGGGAGTATCCTCCAGGCTGTGTGGCCCCCACCCAGGTGCAGGCAACTATGGGGAAGGTGGGTGTGGGGCAGTGGGCCTACACTCCCCACCCCATTTCCTTCTCCCCTCCAGCAGCTCCAGATGCTAGGGGGAACTAGTAGGCCCGGAACTCTCTGGGTGAGCTGTCCCCTCCTGCCCTTGTGCCATCCGAACATGCCTAAACTGGGCTTCAGATCTGGTTCCCCGGCTGCCTCTCAGAGCCCTAGAAGGCTCATGGTTCACAAGCAGCCTAGAGAAGCAGGGAAGACGTAGTGAGCAGTGCTGTCCCGTCGGAGGCTGTTCAGGAACTCAGGAGGGTTCAGCAGGCAAATAGCCCTGCTTACCACGGTGGCTTTGCTCAGGGCTTATGAATAATCTGGTCCCAAGGGGGACCCCACAGAGTTTTTCAGCCAGCCAGGCACTAGTACTGGAGGGAGGAACTCACCCCTCAGAGCTGAACTGAAGTCCCCAGTGATGAAAGAGGGCAGTTGGCCTGATCACAACACTAAACCCCCGACTTCCTGCTCACTAAAGCACAGACAAATAAATGTAGGTGACACGCGGGCTGCCAGTTTGATCGGGAAAATGAACGGCAATTGGATTTTGCCCTTTTTTATTTAAAGTTTTTATCGATTCCTATGGAGTGGATTAAATATGAACAGCGGACTGAGAAGGCGTCTGAGCGCCTCCGTGGGGGACTCGGGACACATCAGTCTCAGCAGAGACGGACCGTGGCCCAGAGGCTCTGCCCACGAAGGTGCCCTCTGACTGCCTGGGAATTAAATGCAGTTGAAGTGGAAACTTGGGCTGTCCTTGCTCTCTGGGGCTCACAGTCTGAACAAAATGGAGAGAAAGTGGGGTGGGGGAGGGGGAGGGGGAGGGCACAGAAGGCAGGCTGTGTAGCTGAAGAGACAGGCCCTGGCAGAAAGGCTAGGACAGGGGAGGGTCTCTCTTTAGGTCGAGCTGGATGTGGAGAAGCTTGGAGACCATCCTCTGCCGTGGAATCCATGCCAAACATTAGACCTGAACCTTTTCCCAGGGCCACAGAGGCTCTCTTCCCCCTCCCCCCACCTCCAGAAGTCTCACCCCTGTGCTCAGCACCCTGAGGCAGGTGTCACCTTGACTATATCAGGTAGCCTGCACCTGACCCCCTCTCTTCCTCCACAGACTGCTGTCCACTGGGATGTGGGCAAACACCAGGCCTCAGAATGCCGGGGCACCAGCCCTGCTGTTTCTGGAGGAGCCACCAGAGGCTGTTGCCCGGCCTGGCTCTGCCACCAGCCCAGGGCCACCGTGGCCTTCTTCCTTAAGTCACCTCCACATTTTCCTTGCCCCCCTCTCCCTGGCATGACCTGAGTCCTGAGGAACATCCCTGCCAATACAGATACCCGACCTTCCTGCCTGCCATTCCATCACCTAATGCCCAAGGGCAACAGGCAGAGAGAACGGATGGCACAGTGGTGCTCACCCAGTGAGGAAGGAGCCCTACTCTCAGCCCTTAGGCGATGAAGTTTTAAATCTGTCTTCTTCCCCACGTGAGCCAGTGGCCCCAGAGCTATCCCTTCCAGCACCCTAAAGAAAGTAGGGCTCTATGAGCTCTGCTGGTAATTTACGAGTTCTTTTTCTAAGCAATGAGGCTCCTCCTGCCCCATTAGGTCACTATCTGACCTCACCTAACAAAGAGCCCCTGAGTGGATGAGTAGGCTGGGCAGCCTCTGCCGATCAGGGGGTCACCACTCTGGGACCCGGAGCTCAGCATTCATTAGGAGATCCAGATGCTGGGGCCAACCCAGAGAAGCCAAGCACTGGCTCAGAATAGCACAGCTAGAAGCCAGGCTTGCCCCAGAGTGGGGCACAGCAGTCTATCACTGTGCGGTAAGTTTCTATCAATGTTCCCCTCCAAGATTCCAGGATGGCGTCCCGCAAGGCTGTGGTCGTCTTGCTAATGGTATATGCAGCTGCCATGCTGACCTCCCAGATTGCAGCCTTCGTTCCCACCTTCACGTGGACTGAACTCCAGAGAATGCAGGTAAGATGCGCGCGCAGGCATGCTCGCAGGCACGCCCACATACACGCACCCACCCACGCACCCGTGCACCCCCACTCGCCCGCATGCAAGTGCCCACGCAACCACGCTCGCACCTACCCACACACATACGCACGCAATCCCTGAGGAATTGCTGCTCTCTCAAGCCCAGGCATTTTTGGTAAGACCCTAGCTGCAGTTCCAGGAGCAAGAGCACCCAGACAGCAGCGATCCTCTGTCCCCTTCGCCATTATCACTCAGAGCGGTGTGCAGCTCACTCCTCACACCCCTCCAGACGGAGACGTGTTTCCCAGGCTTCTCTGTGGTACCATGGACCGCCCTGAGCCTACACTTGTAGATCTGTCCAAGGAGCAGACAGGTGTCCCACACAAGACGATGAAGAACTGACATTTTTAGACAAAAGAAAGGCATCAAGTGGGCTCATCCCAGCACTCAGGCAGTAGAGGCAGGAAGATCAGGGGTTCAAGGTCAACCTTGGCTACAAATGGAGTTTGAGACTAAACTACAAGAAATCCTGTCTTTTTTGTTTGTTTGTTTGTTTGTTTGTTTGTTTTTTGTTTTTCGAGACAGGGTTTCTCTGTGTAGCACTGGCTGTCCTGGAACTCGCTCTGTAGACCAGGCTAGCCTTGAACTCAGAAATCTGCCTGCCTCTGCCTCCCAAATGCTGGGATTAAAGGGGTGCGCCACCACCGCCCGGCCAAGAGATCCTGTCTTAAGAATCCCCCTGTGGGGCTGGAGAGATGGCTAAGAGCACTGACTGCTCTTCCAGAGGTCCTGAGTTCAAATCCCAGCAACCACATGGTGGCTCACAACCATCTGTAATGAGATCTGATGCCCTCTTCTGGTGTGTCTGAAGACAGCTACAGTGTATTCATATATAATAAATAAATCTTTAAAAAAAAAAAAAAAAGAATCCCCCTGTGGCAATGCCACGGGAGATCTCTACCTCTAAGTGACCCTGGGACTAAGCATTGGGGTTCAGGGATAGAAATCCTGGACTGCCATGAAAAGTTGAGCCTGAATCCTTGGGAGAATAGAGGACCAGGATGCTGGGAGTCATAGCCAGGGTGAGCTGCACAACCTTCCTTCCCTAGAGAGTCAAAAACAAAAAACAAAAAACAACAACAAAAAAACAAGGCCCAACGGAACTCCAGGGGGTATGGCTAAGGAAAAGCAGGGAAGCCATCCTGGCTTCTGGGACACTTGGCTTCACACTTCAAGGGGAGTCTGGACATTCAAGGGGAGCAGACATTTGGGTTCCTTGAATCCACAGAGAATGAAATGGGGTTCTCCTGCCCCACCCAGCTGAAGGCTGAGAAGTTGTCCAGGGACCTGACAGCTTGCTCTACCCCAGCCTGTCCTTGAATACACCCCTCCCTGTATGGGACAGGCCATGCTGAATCCAGATGACACTCTGGAACAGGTTGTATGTGCACCTTCCCCTGATCACCAGATTGTTCTAGTGCCTGCAGGGCAGGCCACAGGACCACCCCAAGCGTCACCAGAGATGCCAATGGGTTTATCTGACTGGAGGGCTGGCATGTTGCAGACTGGGTGGGGCTAGATTCAAACAGTATGACTCATAGGAGCTCCAGCTCTCTAAGGCACCCGGGAATGGGCTGCATTAATGTGCACCCCCCATGGGCTGTATTAATGTGCGCAGTAGTTTTCCTTCTAATTGCCGAAAGCCGCAATTTTTATGAAGAAACTGCTTATTCCTCTGCCCATAACTCATCTCCCTGTTTCGCCTCTAATAAATCACTTCCCAGGGACTGGGAGTTCCTGGCCACCCCATGGCGCCCTCACAGGCTAGAATGTCTACTACCTTCTTTATAGGCTCTCTGCTAAGAAAGACACATTTGCACACTTAAATATGCATGAAGGACAGTCATTACTCTCCCGTTTTAAGTTAATTAACAGTAACTGTCTGGGTGCTATTTTTTAAGCACCAAGAAACGGTGCCTTGGAAGTGGCTAGGTTGTGGACAACCCCGAGCCTGGCTGTAAGCCACCGAGAGGCTTCAAGGCATCTGAGAGGCATCGCGCAGGGGGCACAGGAAATAAAGGCTCTCTTGGAGTTAGGGAGTTTGGATCGTGGGAGTTTGGGTCAGGTGGTCAGAGACAGGTGAGGGTGGTTGAGGCAGCTAGAAGAAGGCACAGTTATCAGTGTGGTTTACTGCTGTGGGAAAGAGAATGGAGCCAGGCCCAGAAGACCAAGCAGGCAAGACTTATGGACCTCCGGGAGCTCATTCCCAAAGGAGAAACCCAAATCACCAAAGTGAGCAGACAGTGAAGTGAATGTTTTGAATTTTGACTTCTTTTTAAAAACAAAAAAATATGATGAGTGTTTTACTCCCAGGTGTGGGGATATGGGGCTGCTTTGAACTGTCTGCAACAGCTATGATTTGCCTCGTGCTCTAGCAGAGGTGTGGTTTTGCCAGCTGCAAATAATTTCTGTGATTGCATGGCATTTGGAATTCTGGGAACTTTTCAGAGGGTGTATAATTGCTAGGGCCCTGAGAGAAGGGTTAGCTGATTGTTGGTCATTGAGGGAGGTTGGCTGGGGTTTGTTAGTAGCCATAGTCAAAGAAGAAACAAAAGGAAAGAAATTAGATTCAGGGATCTCTCTCTCCTCTCCTTCTTTCTCTCCTATCTAGGCATAGGGGGTGAAACCAAAGGGATAAAGGGTGGGAAAATGAAGAACCCACTAAGTAGCTTGGACCAGCTACAGTATAGGATGTGTTTCTCCAACCTGGCAAGGACAGCCAGCAGTGGAATGTTCTAGGCCACAACAGTAACCAGGGCATGTAGGCATGAGCTCTGTCACAGGACAGAAAGATGGACCCAGCAACGAGACAAAGCCATGCAGGCATCTGAGAATGGTGGACAGAGTACTCAGGGCACTGGGTCCAGAGGAGGCAGGAGATAGTGGTCTCTCCATCTTTCCTGGGCAGGAAAGGAGTAGGACTTGCAGACCCAGGCCTGGTCCCTTGGCACTGGGAACTGCTGGTTGCAGGCAGACTCTTTCATTCAGGGGTTGGATGGATGAACCCCTCCAGGCACTGGGGAGACAGCAAAGGAAACACAACATCCCTTATCCTTGGGGGAGAGCAGAGGAGGACTAACTAGAGGTAACAGCCTCAAACAGGTAAGTAAGCGAGTCCAACAGTGTGGTACACAGGGAGAGGCAGAGGGTTGGGGGTTGGGGGTGTGTATTCAGCCTCCTGAGTATGTTTTAGTAAATACAAGACCCAAAGAAAAGGTGGTCAAGAATGTCTCGAGGGAAAGACATCCAGGTAAAGGAAACATTGGTTGTGCAAAGGTCCTGGGACAGAAAAGAGCCTTATTCACAAATAAGGAGAGAAAGGCCAGAGCAGAGGAAGGAGGGTGAGAGTGGGGTCAGGGCTGCATGTTTTGGACTTGGGGTTCACTCTGCTGAGACAGGAGCCTTTGGGGGCTTTGGTCAACATAGGAACATGGTCTGATTTTTATTTTAAAGGGGGCTGCCCAACTGCTGTATTTGAGAATGGGCTGTGGGGGTGCGGGGACTGGAGGACAATGAAGATTGTGGAGAGGGGGAAGTGGAAGTTGGGGGATCGGGACCCAGAGTGGCTCGAGATGGATCCCCACAGGATTTTCTGTCTGATGCAAGATCTGAGGAAAGAGAGTCACAGAAATGGACGGAGGAGCAGAGGGGCTGGCGCCTCAGGCTCGGAGCTGGAGCAGCCAGCGGGACTCTAGCGACTCCAGCGGAGGCAGTGAGGCCGGAAGCTGAGCCTCTGTCTTAGGATTACGACTCCCAGAGATGAAACACTGTAACCAAGAACGTGGGGTGGAAAGGGTTTATTTGGCTTACAGTTCCACATTGCTGCTCATCATGAAAGTCAAGGCGGGAACCTGGAGGCAGGAGCTGATGCAGAGGCCATGGAGAGTTACTGGCATGCTCCTCATGGCTTGCTCAACCTGTTTTCTCACAGAACCCAGGACCACCAGCCTAGGGATGGCACCACCCATGGTGAGCGGGGCCTTTCCATCAACCACTAATTAAGAAAATGCCCTTCAGGCTTGCCTATAGCCAGATTTTATGGACACATTTTTTTTTTTTTTTTAAAATTGAGGTCTCTTCTCTCAGACAACGCTTATGTCAAGTTGACATACAATTAGCCAGGACAGCCTCTGAACTGCAAGGAGCCATTGGCATCCAGTTAGAGAAACCACCCAATCAGGTAGAACAGTCTTAGGAGAGAGGCGGGGGGGGGGGGGGAAGGGGGCAACAATAAGAATGTGGGTCTTACTGAAAGAAATGGATGGGGTTTGAAATCAGGTCTAGCCGGGCGGTGGTGGCGCACGCCTTTAATCCCAGCACTTGGGAGGCAGAGGCAGGTAGATTTCTGAGTTTGAGGCCAGCCTGGTCTACAGAGTGAGTTCCAGGACAGCCAGGGCTATACAGAGAAACCCTGTCTTGAAAAAAAAGAAAAAAGAAAGAAAAAAAGAAAAAGAAATCAGGTCTAGGAGAATCCCCGTCGGGCCTCCGCTGTACAACCCTATAGGGAGCTTGGGCGTGACATCAGGGAGAAGGGGGCTTCCTGAGACCACACTGCAGTCACAGTAGGAGGCCCAGCTTCGGGTGTCACTGCTCACTCAAGCCTGTGGGTGACATCTCCGTGTGGGACCTTCCCCCTGGGACTCTGGAAGAGGGCACTGAGAGTGAGATCTACTGTTGGTGCCAAGTTGCTCAGGGGACAGGAGGACAAGAGCACATCCTTCCCAGGATACTCATGGACATCTTCCCAGGGGCCTGTGCATTTACACAGGTCCATTTACACTGGAGCCTCCCCTCCCCTCTTCCACAAAGTGCAAACACTTACGTTTTCCCCTTCCTGGAATCACTTGGGACAAGCCTGGTACTTGGGGAGGGTCCAGTGTTGGCAGAATCATGGGGCGATTCTGTTCAGGTGGGTTTGTGCCCACTGCCCACATGTCCCTTCAGTTCCAGCCTCCCCAGCGGGACTCAGCCCCGTGGCAAAGTGGAGAAGGCACTAGAATTCCTGAGGAGTGGGGTGGAGCAGAGTGGTGTACTACGGTAGGTCCCTCCTGCCACCTGTAGGGCGCCCGGGGGTTAGCACCCCTGCGCCTCACTCACTGGCTAACAGCTTATTTCACGCCTGACTGCTCCGGCGGGCGCAAATGGGAGTGCGAATGACCGCTAGGCAGCTGGAAAAGTACCAGGCAGCCCTGGAAGGGCTGCCGAGGGAGGCCATGTCGCTGGACCCCTTTGGTAAGCACGTGAGGGTGGTATCTCTGTGGCTTAAACCAGGCCGACCACCCTGCCATTGAAATTTTAGGAGGCACCCAGCAGGGTTTGAGGGCTGTGGGTTTTGCTCTTGTGAGGTGTTTCCTCCGAGAGCAGAGGCGAGGCGCGTGGCCTGCCGCCTTGTTCCAAGCCTCCAGCCCGGGGCCTTTCCAGGTGTCCTTCCTACCCACCAGAACTGCCCTCCCCCATATAACGTCAACCTTCCCAGATACCACAGAGACTGCGGGAAGAAAGTGCAAACACTAACAGTTTCCCTGCCTCGGATTGATTTTTTTTTCCCTGCAAACTGAAATCTCACATCCTTTCCGCCTTGCCTGGTTCAAGGTCTTCTCCGGTTAGTTTTTTGCAAAGCTGGATCTTGTCTGACAAACCACTACTAATTATTTCTCCTGGTCTCTGGGAGGAGAGGAGAGATGGGGAGGAGGTGTTGGAGATGGAGACACTCTGAGGTTAAATGACTTGCCCCAGGCTACAGAGAGCTTCCAGGCTCTGCCAGAGCCTTCCACCTCTCTGCCCTCCTCCCTGGACCTGGGGTCCCAGCGAGAAGACAGGTTCATAAGCAGGCACTTGCTCCTGCAAGCCCCGTGATGGTCCTGTGGAGAGGAGGTGGGGGCCTTGCTCACTCCAGCGAGACGCAGGAGCCTGTGTGTGCACACTATAGTGTGAAACAAAGTCCCTTTGTGAGGGAGCACACCCCTCCCTCTCCAGCAAATAAAGCTTCCGTTCCCAAGAGATGCCTCTTTTATTTAATGGCCTAATTTCCAAAGGGCAAACTGGGGCTGAGGGAAAGTGCAGGGGAGGAGGAGTAACCCTCAGAAAGAGCTGTATGCACGTTAGCAAAATGAGCAGGCAGATGGGGAAATGTGCTGTCACCCTTCCCACCTCCCACCCCTGGCGCTGGAGGGAAACAGACCCAGAGAGGCGTCAGCTTTGCCCATACATGACACAGTATCAACACAAGGACCGGGTCTGTCATCCTGAACATGGTCTGCTTTCTGTCTGGGATCACTGGGCCTCCTTATTCACCCCTGCTGAGTAACTTCTTTTTTTTTTTTTTTTTTTTTGGTTTTTCGAGACAGGGTTTCTCTGTGTAGTCCTGGCTGTCCTGGGAACTCACTCTGTAGACCAGGCTGGCCTCGAACTCAGAAATCCACCTGCCTCTGCCTCCCAAGTGCTGGGATTAAAGGTGTGCGCCACCACTGCCCGGCTCGCTGAGTAACTTCTAAGGGATCTTTTAACCTCACTGAAGCTCTGAGTGTTAGCCCCATAGAGCACTGGCCCCCAACGCCCAGCAAAGAGTAGATGACTGTTGTCTGAAGTGGAAACTAAGAGTTCTTTGGAGAGTCAGTTGTGTTGGATGGTGTTTTGCTGGGGGCAAACTCATGAAAGGAATGTTCCCCTGAAGCAGACACAGGAGAGAGGATGTTCTAACCCTAGCTCGGGAAAGGACACTCAGCGATGAAGGATTTACTAACAACACGCATGTATTGGTCTGCCTTACATTGCATATTGAGCTGCATGCGTCAGGACTCCAGAGAGAGAAAAGCACCACAAAACTTCTGGCGGCGTGCTGCAGTTTGTCGCCGCTTCCTCGGACTTGGGCTGATTGAATGCATGTGCTGAGGCAAGACCCGTGGGGGACACGCGGTGTTTGGAGGGGATAAGTAGGACTCCACAGAGTGACGGAGACAGAGCTTGGCTTTCTGGTACTGCTAGCTGTGCGACGCTTGCTGCTCTCCTGTCTTCGCTGATCTTCACTTCCCCTGAGAAAAGCACAGCTGAGAACTTCTGCTGTTCCTGTTGGTCCTTCCTGCTGACTCCGAGGCTGAGGCCTGGCCGTCTCTGCTAGGTTGTGTCACTGCTGTTGCTAACTGGACTGCTGGCGTATCCGTGAAGTATGAACTGTTTGCAAGTTGATCAAGCTGCTGCCGCTGGTGACCTGTGAACTGAACTGCCGGTCTCCAGACAACACAGACAGGAGCTGCTTCAAAGAACCTTTCTAAACAGATCCACTTCTCCCCACCCGACACCCCCATATCATATCTGGTGGGTGGTGGGGTACAAGGGAGGTTAAAGTATTTAAGAACCATCATTAAAAATTAGATTTGAAAAAAAATCAAAGTTGTCATTGTCACCTTGTGACGTGTCCAGAATCTGCAGCAAAAAAACCCACATGGCCAACCCGCTTATTTCTGCCTCCTAAACAAAACAGGACGGGAAATTCCATTCTGACGTTATAGTCACAAATGTTCATTTATTTATAAACTAGAGCCACATAGGAATCCCAGCTCTCGCCAACACAGGTTACTAGCAGTTAGCCACTGCGCCCAACCCCATTGCTACCTGCCTTTCTGCTGGCAGAGAGGGCTCTGGAGAGAGGAACCAGTACAAGAACTCCCTACCCTACCTCCCTTGCTAGGGACACTGAGTTCCCTGGCTGCTTCTGTGGGAACAGACCCTGCCCTGCCAGATGACCCCACACGTCCCCAAAACACACACCACATGCCTCAGAGCAGAGTGTCTGGGGACTGATGTCAAGATTTGACCTCCAGGTGGAGAGGCCGGCACCCAGACTCCGCCTCCCCCATCCAGCTACCTCGCTGTTCACCCAGCCACATTCTTCCAAATGCTGAAGAGCAAGAGGCTCTGGCATTCTTCTGGGCAAGAAACATTTCCTACAGTTCCCCTCCCCCTCTGCCCTCTGGTGAGACCATGTCCCCTGTCCCCAGAAGGGAACTTCCATTCCCTGGGTATCAGGCGGGGAACTGGTAACCTGTAGAGTTTTGTCCTAAGCTCCTGGGGTCTGGAGAGCGTACTGGCTCTGGGAAGGGACCACAATCCCCTGGGTGGCTTCTCCACATGAAGTCTCTTCAGAATTCTCTTATTTTTTAAGCTGGGAGTTGGTCGGTGGAGTGTAGCCCCTGGGGGATGAGGTGCTGCTGTCTCTGCAGAAAAACAGGGGTTCATTCAGAATGGGCGGGCAGCCAGTGAGCGGACGCTGTCCCCCGCCCTGCAGCCAGCCCTTGAGAGAAACCCTGTCTCGAAAAAAAAAAAAAAAAAAAGAAAGAAAAAGAAAAACTCTAGTATTGGGACTGGAAAGATGGTTCATCAGTTAAAAAGGAACTCAAAGGACCCAAGTTTGGTTCCCAACACCCACAGTGGGCACTTCATAACCACAGCTCTAGAAGGATCTATCGCCCTCTTCTGGCTTCTCTAAGCAACTACACACACACCACCAACAACTCAGCCTGGGCGGTAGTGGTGCACACCTTTAATCCCAGCACGCAGGAGGCAGAGGGGAGGATCTCTGAGTTCAAGGCCACCTTGGTCTACAGAGCAAACTCCAGGACAGCCAGGGCTGTTACACAGTGAAACCCTGTCTTGAAAAACAAAACAAAATTTTAAAAGTCCAAACTCTCTAGCAGGAGGGCAGAGGAGATGGCTCAGTCGGCAAGGTGTGTCGCATTACAACCATGAAGACCAGGTCAGTCCCCTGCCCTACACAGAGGCTGGTCACCTCTCATCCCTGTGCTGGGGAGGTGGAGACAGGAGGATGGTCTGGAGCTCAGTGGGTAGCCAGACGAGTCAGATTGGTAAGCTCCAAGCTCAGCAAGGAGAGCAGTCGGGGAAGACGCTTAACGCCACCTCTGTCTTCTTCTCGCGCACACATGCACGTGCATGCATGAGTACACACACACACACACACACACACTCCACAATGTGTGAACAAGGAACCAACCAGAAGAAAGAACCAAAGGGCCCAGAGCAACCAGGGCCCGGACCCTCCCTTCAGGTTTTCCTTCCTGAAGAGATTTATGAAGCACTATGTCCAGGAACCCCACAATGATTTAAGGTGACTGAGAGGAGATTAGCTCCTGGTAGGCAGGCTTGTTGTTGACACAGGACCCAGATAATAGCCGGGTGACCTGAGCCTAGCCTCCCAAGATGGAGATGATAAGGTGCTATCTCCCTAACCACACTGGTGGGGTTTCATAATTACTGAGGTGTGCAGATTAACCATGAGGCTGAATAGTTAAAAGCAGGGTGTAATTGCCTGCTGTTCGTCCTCTGTAATTTAGTATAATCTAATCATGGACAAAGCCCCAAAGAAAGCCAAGCCGTCTGAAAGCATGCACTTTCCCTCATAATGTGTTACTGACATTGGTAATACATTCCGCGCCTCGGAAGGAAGGCTCACCCTTAGTCACCAACGTGTGGTCCGGAGTGGGTGCTTGTCGTTTAATTCCCAAGAGACTGTCCAGAGCCAGTGGCATAACAGCCCACTGAACCTGTTCCTGCATTTCCCTGTGATTTTATTTACCTCCTCCCTTGACCCACGGACTGGGAGAGAGCTGGTGGGCATCCCCTCTTGCAGAGGGCACTGAGATGAGGTAACAAGAAGCTGGGTCCACCTGAAGCCGTGCCAGTGGAATCTGAGCCCCATTTTCCACTGCACTACCCCAGCACCCACCCACCCCCCACCCAACGGTGGGATGCCACTGTCATGTGATTCAAAGGGATCTCTGGTCAGCTGAGGTCCTCAACAATGTGGGTCAAGAACACACTCTGGGCATTACGAGGACAGAATGAGTGTGCTGCTTCCCAGCAGGGAGGAGAGGAGGAAAAAATGGAACCATGAAAGATTTATGGCCATTGTGATTATGGAGCTCTGTTGGAACAGGAAGAGGCTAGCGGGAGGGGAGTGGCATGATGGCCTTCCGGGGACCCGGGGGTTCCAGCAACTCATCACCTCTGCTGCTGGTGTAAACAGACACAGGCTCAACATTGTGTCTTTCCTCTCTCCCTTTAATAAATCGAGAAAACTGGCCATAGCAAGGGCCATGCACCTTACACACCACACAGTTACACAATACACACTGCACAGACACACA